GCTGATGGTCCTTCTTGAGCATGTGATCAGCTGGTTTTGGTTGTCAGCAGCAAACTGGTTGATCCACTCTGAGAAGGTGCTATTTAAGAGACTGAGCTGAAAACAGCACCTCAGACTGAGGAAGTCTCTTGGATGAGAGACGAAACGTTTCTATATTTTTTTTGCTTTGTTTAGTTTTTTTTTGAATGTCCAGAGGACCAGATTGAACTTTTTTGGATTTTTCTACCTGGATTATTGAGCATGCATCAGGATACTATTGTAGTAATTTTTAGTATTTTTTATCGAAATTTGTCTTAATCCCCTTTCCAAGACCACTTGAAATCAAACATAGCCACCATTGCGGGATTACAGTCGATGTTATTTTAGGCCACTCTTTCTTAATAGGATTTAGGCTTTGTTCAATCAAGCTGTCCTGCAGCGTTAGCCCCTGCTATTGCTGAGGTTGTGATCAAGAGGTGATCATTCTGTTACTGTTCTAGATCATTCTGCTTTTTTATATCTTACAGTTTTCAGAAAGACAAACAAAAATGTGGTGTCTGTGATTCCATACACATCTATAATAATATTATATTTAGATGTAATCTAACTATGTTTGTGCCATGTGCAAATTTTACACTCGGCACACCAACATTTTTTTAGGAGTTTAAATATACTGTACTGTTATGCATGCTATATAAAACAAATAATGCGACATGGGAGTGAAGAAACTGTTGTTTTAGTTGGGCTCATCAAAATGTACTATTTAGTCAGGAAATGGGTGCTTTGACTTTTAATGTAATTTTTATGCTTTATACTTTTATTTAGCCTTTTGTTACTTTTAGCTCATGTTTTGCTACTTATACCTAACATTTTGCTACTTTTGTCAGTTTAGCTAATATTTTGCTCCTTTTTGCTTTACTAATTTAGTTTTAGCTTCTTCAGCAGTCATTCAGCACTCAGCGTTCAACTTTACTTTTGCAGAAAATTCTTCTTTTTTTTTTTTCAGAAACTAGCATTTCTCCAACAAATGCATTTAGCCCACTGCATTGTTTTAAAAAGAAATCGTCAAGATCTGTTAACAGTTTGAGTTGGGAATGACTCCGCTACTACCACATCAAATTTGAACTAAAATTGACATTATAGCCATTTTTGTGTTTGCCACTGTGATTAAGCTGTACAGCCATGCTGAACCAGATTGACTCCATAATGTAATAAGTTGTAGATGCACATCCTGTAATGACTTTATGGAAGTTTCATTAAAACTGGGTGGGGGTCTCACCACCTCTGCATGTGCACAATCAGAAAGTAAAAATAGTGCAGAGAAAATGGTGCTCCCAGAAGTAATATAGGATGGGAATAACCAGCATCCTATTGTTAGACTTGCTTTAAGAAGCAAGAAAATAGCCTGCTTCTCCTGAGCCAACATAAAACAGATCACCTTTGTTTGCAGAAGGAAGTTGTCTCCAAGGAGAAAGCAGTTCTGATTGGTTGACAGCTTAGCGCACAAAGTCCATGCAGGTGTCACAAAGCCTCGTGCCCACCTGGTTTTCAGTTGCAGGAGAATGAGTGAAGACTGTGTGGAGATTCATAGAGGTATGTGATACTTTAATTAAACTGGATAACTTCAACATATGTTTACATATAAAAACTAATTTGTGTTATATTTGCTAGTTGTCTTGTTTGGATCACTTTAGTTGGGAGATTTTTTTTTACTGAACAACAAATGTTAAGACTTTCTTTAAGAAATAATGACTCAAATTAGTTGTCATTAATGTATTAACATTTTATGTTTACATAGGTAGTTAAGTCCTTTTAGTAGATCTATTTTAAGAACCCCCAACGATGAATGTATATTTAGTGCATATTGTTACAGACAATAATTAACCTGTTCTTTGAATAATTTGAAGGCAGACAGTTAAAGCCAAGATACAAAGGTTCAAAAATACTTTGAGAAATAAAAATGTATTGTAGTTTTTACATAATCCCTGTCAATCAACACAGACTGATAAGAGAAGCTTGAATTGTTTTTTTTTTTTTTGTTTTTTTTTACAGCTGTAATAAAAAGCCGTTGTTGGACCACTGATTATCATTCAACATTCATGGCAGTGAAATTTATTGCTCCAACAATGTGCTGGTAGAACTTTGTGGAGATGTTTTTGTAGCTTTGGCTACTGTATTGATAACTATATGAAGATAAAGTTGTGGTAAATTCATCTTTTTGTATTGTCACAAGACACCACAATAATTAAATTTAGGTAGCATTTACTTATTAAAATGTGTGAGTAAGTCTTAAAATGGAGGTCATGTCAAGTCATGATAAATTATAAAGTTTTCGTTGTTCATAATGATACTTTGACCTTTCTACAGCCGAACAGATGGGGATGGTTACACACTGGTGATATAGTGCATGAAGGTTTTACAAGGATGGGGTTTCGTGGGAAATCGTGTACAGTGAACAGGAGTGCTTTTGTGTTTGCTTTAGTTGAGGCAGTAGCCTTCACGTCTCAGGTGTTGAAATT